TAGGTGGTACATTTACATTTTGGTATGGTGCACTGACGCAAGTGAGGCTGGGATGTGGAGTGGACAGACGTGCAGTTATTCAGGGAGCTGTTAGATGCATAGATTTCATAGATTTCATCGACATTTGGGCTGGAAGGGACCTCAAAGAGCATCAAGTCCAGCCCCCGCCCCAGGGGCAGGAAGTCAGCTAGTGTCAAAGGACCCCAGCAAGATAAGCATCCAAGTGTTTCTTGAATGAGTCCAGAGTAGGTGCCTGCGCCACATTAGAGAGGCTGTCAGGGCAGGGGTAATAGCTTGTTTGCCTTGAGCAAGGGGCTACTGCGGCACAAGCTGTGGACACAACCCATGGAGCGATGTGGTGTAGTTTTACCTCTGGTTTTTCTGAGGTTGATCCTACACAGGAATCGAGCATGTTGGAGCTAGACCAGGAATTGGAGCTGGGCTGTTCTCAGTGGGGGCAGATGACAAGACAAGGAGCAATGGGCTCAGGCTGCAGCAAGGGAAGTTGAGGTTGGATATTAGGAAACACATGCTCACGAGGAGGGTAGTGAAGCACTGGGACAGGTTACCCAGAGCGGTGGTGGGATGTCCATCCTTGGAGGCTTTTAAGACCCAGGTTGGCAAAGCTTTGGCTGGGATGATGTAGCTGGGGCTGGTCCTGCTTGGAGCAGGGGGTTGGACTAGATGTGACCTCCTGAGGTGCCTTCCCACCCTCGTTTTCTATGATTTGGTGATTCCAGGTTACCCCTGGCAGAGCTGTGCCTTGTGCATCACGCTTTGTTTTATGCTGGTGTAAACGTGTTGTGTGTCCAGGACGTGAGCGAGCAAAGGATAGGAAGACCGATTTAGGTCAGCTGCTGGTGTGCGTGAGAGCTAAGAGGAGGCCTGGCTATCCCTCTACAAACATGCAGAGGAGGTTGAGGAGGGTACCTAGCTATAGTACAGGGCTGGTGTTGATGTGAGAGTGGGGGGATTAAGGATCCCATTGCTTGGCTATTGGTGGCTAGTGGTGTCTGCCAGACTATGGAGGAACTGGGCAGTCCCTGAAGACTTACGGTGCAGTTTCCTAGTGCATAGTGCTGTAGGCACTAGTGCTTAAGGCTCTGGATAAAAATAATAGGGTCCAAGGCCCAGCTGAGCCTCCTTGGTCCATCAGGTACCAGGGGTCCAGGCTGAAGCCAGATGCGATACATCTGTGCATTTAACCCTGTTCTTGGCTGGGAGGGATAGGCACGGCCAAAACGTTGGTAATAGGAGGGAGCAATCCTGCATTGCTTCGAGGCAGGGTGATGCAGGCATCGCTCACTCCTCGATCCCTGCAGCTCCATGAAAAGCAAAATTCATTTCCCTGTTTTTATTAAGGAAGTCGTCCAAATTAAGTAGCCCGGAGCCTTACTGCTGCCTCTGAGCTCAGCCCAGGCCCTGAGCCTCATCCCAGCTGGCGCCAGCCCGACCCATAGCACGACCTGTAATTAGAGAGAGAGCAGCTGGATAGACCAAGGCATGGGAACAGGCACCTTGCTAATGAAGGCTGACCCCGTTTTGTGTCTCTGGAGGGGCCCTGGGGGTGGGTGGATTGGCTTGGAGGGATGAGTCTTCATCCCCAGCTGTTTGTAGCATCCGGGTTTGAAGCTGCTCATGCAGCTGCCTGGTCTCTGTTTTGCTAAATGCACCAAGCAGGAAGCAAACCTGCTACCAGGGGCCATTTCAGGTTCTTCGTTGCTTCCCGTGCGTGCAGGCTTTTGTGTACCACATTATTAAATCCGCAGCAGGTCTGAGCCTGTCCCACTGACCTGAGCCGGCGACCTCCTCCAGTACTGAAGGGCAGTGAAGCTGCTCTGAACTCATGCCCAATGCCGCCCCTGCCCCCTCGACCCGATCTTGAGCCCTCGTTTTTTGGCAGATCTGAGAGAAGGCGCTGGGGCAGACTCATGGGTGAACTTCCCACCATGGAGCTCATCACCGATTTGGGTTGGTGGGACATGGTCAGAGCATGCCTTCCCAAAACTGCCTGCTGATGCTGCATAGATAAGCCTCACAGGAAGACATGTGTCTTCCAAAACTCAGCTTCCAAACTCATCCCCATGTTGCTGGGCTCCTGCAAGAGTCCCTGGCTGGACTTCTATGGCCTGTATTACACTGGAGGTCAGCGCAGCAGATTATAGCAGCTTGAAAATCATAGGAAATGAGGGTTGGATGGGACCTCAGGAGATCCCATGTAGTTTAACTCCCTGCTCAAAGCAGGACCAGCCCCAACTCGATCATCTCAGAGAAGGGTTTATCTAGGTGGGTCTTCAAAACCTCCAAGGATGGAGCCCACCACCCCTCTGGGTAGCCTGTTCCAATGCTTTGCTACTGTTGTGGTGAAAAAAGTTTTTCCTAATATCTAACCTCAACTTCCCTTGCTGCAGCTTGCGCCCATTGCTCCTTGTCCTGTCGTCTGCCCCCACTGAGAACAGCCCAGCTCCGTCCTCTTTCCCTTCAGGCCTTACACCGTGCAGGTGTAGCTCCAAGTCCAGGGATTTCTGCTCATCTTCCTGCTGAGACTAAGGCAGGACAGGATCAAGGACACTGAACTGCAGCCTTGTGTTTAGCAGGGATAACCCTCCACAGCAATGGTTCCCAATCTTTTATAGACTCAAGGCCCCCTTGAAAAATGTGAATTCTTGGCATTCACTCCTTTTTCGACTATGGGAAAAATACTGAGATAATTTTTCTGTTGCAAAGAACTCATTAAGCAGGGCAGAATGGATTGGATACTCTGGATTTCTATTGAAACCTCTGGTTTTACCTTGGGATGTGTGTGTGAGTGTTTGCACACCTCACAGTGCTAATATTGCATGGCACTCTGTGGTACCTAAAAGGATCTTGGGGCACTCTGGCTGATAATCACTCCTCCAAAGGCTATTTTAATAGCAGCCTTCAAGTCGCTGCAGGGGGGTTGCAAAGAGGATGGAGCTGGACTGGTCTGTGGTG